GATGTACTTGGGTTCTTAGCAATCACTGATTTCTGTCACAATTCAAAAAAAATTTTGCCTTCCTCCAGTCAGGAGTAACTTTGCTATAGACCTGGATTCTAGATCTGTAGGGAAGATCCCTCTTACAGGTGACAGAGCCTTTCTGGGACACTGAATTCTCAGTGTCCAAATTTCAATAAGCAGAATTTTAATCCGGTTTGATTTATATATTACAAGTGCTGTATAGCCGTGCTCCTTGCAGGTGCATAAATAGTTTTCAGAGGAAGCTCCTTTTCAAAAGACCTTTCTGCCCAGTGTTGATGTAAAGATTAAGATCTATAAGAAGGGAAAAGTTGCCCATAAGCAAGAAGGTAAGCAGGCAGACAATGAAAGGAGATGTATTTTATTTCTGGTTGTATTTTTTAATCAGTTTTCATAGAACATGAAGATAAAAACTAACAAATATAAATGGTCAGAAAGAGGAATGAATAGAGGGAAAGAATAAAAAGAAAGTGCAGGAAACAGAAACTATAGAAAAAAAGTATGAAAAGAAAATGACTTCCAACTTTTTAAACAAAAGATAAAAACAACACTTAAATGCATCTCCTGGTTTAAAACTCTATTATATAGTACTTGGTAATAAAATTAGAAGCAAGCTTATTGAAGAAAGGGTCAGGATAGAATCCAATATATACACATCCAGAGCCAATAGCTTGATCTAATAATATATACAAATGAAAATACTAACAAAACTAGTATGCATTTCCAAATAGGTACAGAATTATGTTAAAAATATATCAATAAATATATCAAGTCTTAATCTACCTTTTTTCTCTCTCTCTCTCTCTCAACTTTCTTTCCCTCAGCTTTACTTGTAATTTATAATGGCATCTTCTCCCTCTCACCTTAATTACTCATAGAGGGAACCCTCTCACTATGAATTCTATGCATCGGTGTCCATCTGTGCCATGACAAAGTCTTTTTGGAAGAATCATGCAATTTCATTCAGTCAGAAACTTGTAATGGATTTCTTAGAAGGAATGACTTAGCAGTGAACAAATGCTGGGTGTTTACAGCTTTTGATCCTTATAAAAATTGATCCTTATAAAAAGTATCTTCCTATTTATATCTTTGTGAAAGATGCTCCCTAATGTATTCATGTATAGGGTCTAGGACAGTCCTTCTCAAACTTTTTCTTTCATTACTCAAAACCACTTATCAGAAAGTCTTATCAAACTTAAAGGACCCGCCATCAGTCCCTTACTTTAGAACTATCATAATTTTGAACAGTCACTGAATCAAATGGTATTAATTCAAAGACTACCTATATTATAAAACAACATTACTGAATGATGTTTATGTCATATCAATAAATTATTATTGGTAATTTCACCCATTTTTTGTCTTAAAGGAATACTTGGGAAATTTTTAAATATATTTTAGTACATGAGGCTGTCTTTAAGTCAATTTAAATGTCCCTGTTGTAATTGGTATATGCATCCTTACCCAAAATAAAAATACCTTTACCCAGTTCTGGGTAATTTTCTAAGGTTTGGGAAGCCCTAGAGGATAAAAACCTAAATGAAACATAGCAACATTTTTCAACAGCAGATGTTGACTTCACTTCCTTTTTCTTAATTTGTGGCACTGCCCTGATGTAGCAATAATACAATAAATTGCTGCTGTAGTCTAGCATCTTGCACTGTTGCAGGGAGAAAGTTACAAGACTGGTATAATAGAACATGCTATGTTCAAATTATTTTAAAAGAATGATCTATGTATAAAAAATGCAAAGTTTTAATAAAACATTATAATTGCACTTAGGGAGATAAAATGGCTTGTCCCATTAAAACTGTACATGTTTTCAGCTGTTAAATTTTATGCATTATATATGCCATCTTTAAAATAGAAGGGATAGTCATGGGAAGCTACACACATGCAAAACCCCTTTTTAATAGTAAATTTTATTAAAAATTACAACTGTAAAGATAAAAACTAGTGCAGACGAAAACAAGAAAAAAATAGAAGGTAGAGAAAAGAAAAAATGGAAAGATAAAATAGAAAAGAAAGAAAAATTAGAATATAGTAAAGAAAAGCAAAACAAATATATAAATAAATGACATCCTCCTTCATCACAAGAATAAACAATTTTAGTAACTTATCACCTTCTCTTAAAATATAACAAATATACTCTTCTTCCCATATCCCATCTTTTATTTATAAACAAATCCATAAAGCCTTGTCATTTCAGTCCCGATTTCAGGAAAAATCCATTAAGGGTTACCAAAGATATGTATTTATCAAATAAACCACATTTATATTCCTCCCTTTTGCTTTTAATATTCTTGATCTTCAGTCCCTTCAAATAATGTAACAGAACTTGATTTCTTTTCACTTTTTCTTTTCCCTTCTCATAAAATTCTTCAAAGCTTTAACAAGCCGCTTTTGTAAATCCCATATAGGAAAATTATCCAGGTCACTGTCTTGGTTTATCACTTGTATATCCCTTTTAATTATTAAGAATTTAATTCTTAAATAATTTAAGTAAAGTAATTTAATAAGTTTAATTTTTAAGACTGTTCTTTTTAAATCTACTTTCAGCTCAGCCCCAATCTTGTCAGATAAAACACGTTCTTCTTCTGTAACGTCTTTTAAACACTGTCTATCTGTAAAGCGAGACACTCTTAAAATTAACTATTGTTAATTGTTCAAATACATCCTTCAGTACATCCAATATTAAAATACTTTGCTTCATTTTGTATTAGTAAGTCAAATTTAAGTGTTGTTCTCCATTAATGTAATATTTCATTCCTTCTGGTTCCCTCAATTGTCCAACTTTCAATGTCTCAATCTATCGTGCTTTTTTCTTTCAAAATAATTCAAAACAAAAGCATTTTCTCATAGGAAGGCTTCTTAACATAAATTCTAAAATCTTATTTCAAATCCGTCTGGACTCTTAGTCAATTTGTAACTTTCCAAAATCAAAGTTCTAATCACCTGTTTTTTACTTATTTCAAAAAAATATTTTAAAATCAAAACTGTATTTAAAATTCTTTTCACTAAAATGGAATGAAATTCAGCCAGTTTTCAGATTTGTTGATCCAAGAGTTCCTAATAATAACAATAAGAACAACAACAAACAATAGGCAATTTCTGAGAGTGATTTAAAAAGAAAATATGTGGATCCTGTGTCCAATGGTTTGAGAAAGATGGCTTTTTTTCCTGGTCTCCCAGAACTCTGAACCCACTGGAGACTGCTGTTTTGTGGTCTCTTTGCAAGGATCAACTGTCTGGAGCAATTGTGGGTGATCTCAAGTCCTCTCCTTGTTTGGAGAGCAATAATGAAGAGCTGGTCGACTTTCTTCCCAATGAGTCATTGCACAGCTGCAAGAGATTGAGGGATGATCCCCTTTATGTTCCATGGGACCTTATTTGTTTGTTCCCAAGAGAATGCAAGCAGTCTGGGGAGTTTCTTGTATGACTGGTAAAATACAATAAAGTAGTCAACTTTAACCCTTCACACATAAATTTGCACCTGACAGTCAATGACCCAAGTTACTGAACTAATTTCATGCCTAAAACGGGACTAGAACTCACAATCTCCTGGTTTCTAGCCTAATGCTATAACCACTTCACCAAACTTGCTCTCCATTCAATTATAATTCCTCATTCAATTCCATTTCTCTAAAAGGTCTTGAAGCTTTTAAGAAAAAGATTGTCACTCAATAATATAGAAATATGTTTGCAAGCAAATAAAGGGAGGGGGGACTCCCCATATAAACCACTCAAGGGAAAGGCAGGATGTACATTTAAAGTAGCAGCAGCAGCAGCAGCAGCAGCAGTAGTAGTAGTAATGCAGAAAATTCCAATTCAATCCCTGGCATTTTAAGAAATGACTGGAAAGATCTGTGATAGACAAACCTTCCAACCATTACAGACATTATTCAGTCAAATGTCTGGCTCAGAATAAGGGAGCTTCAGATATACTTACTCACATGGATACTTCCTAAGAAGTCTATCTTAAATGCCTCTTGCATAAAGCCCCAAAACATGGATTTCATTTAGAAATTAAATCCAATTCAGTGGTTCTTAGGAGAGAGGCAATTTAAATCCGAGCATAAAGTATGTGCTCCAGATTTACAGCTATTTGCTCTGTACCAAATATACTATTTACTATAGACCATTTATTTTGACTCATTTTTACCAGTGAAAAGGGCAGCTGTTTTATTGCAGTTATTATAGTGTAAACAATAGATTGTAATGGGACAGTTACTATGGTTAATTCTCTGGACTGCCTTGAGCGTTTTTTAAAGTCTACACTATGGCTGGAGATAATGCTCTGTAGATAATGCAGGTCTCTGAAAAAGGATGTTCCACAGAGCAGAGAAAATTATGGAGAAGGCACCCTTCCTAGATCCAAGTATTTGATAACAAATAGAAAAAGTAGGGAAAGGCACCTGCAGAGGTCAGAGGTCCATGAAGTATGTGCTGCATTGTGGCCTGATGCAACTCCCACGGTAGGCTTGGGTCTAATCATTTCTTAGATCTTTAAGCAATCTAATGCATGCTGGCTTTGTACTGCATGAAAGAAGCAGTAATTCTAGTAAATGAAAGACATATGTAATTCTGTACCAAAGTAAAATTCAATGTATTTAATGAGAGTTTTTTTAATTGTAAGTTAATCGTGAAACTGCAGACTACAGTGCATGGAGATTGCCTTAAAGAGTTCCTAAGAACATAAATCAGGGATCTTCAAACTTGGTCCTTTTATGACTTGTGGACTTCAACTCCCAGAATTCCTCAGCCAACATGAGGAATTCTAGGAGTTGAAGTCCACAAGTCATAAAAGGGCCGAGTTTGAAGACCCCTGACTTAAATCTTCTAAGTAGGCATCATTCTTCACAAGACCTACAAAGGCACCTTTTGATATGAGACCATACTTACTGTTTTTCTTATTCTCCTCTTTGCATCTGAGCACTTTAAACCATGCCTAATATGCACTGTGGCTTCTGTTTCTGCAGACAACAACCCTCATTGGCCTTCTGAAGACAGCCCGTCTACTGCGTTTAGTGAGGGTTGCTCGAAAACTGGACAGATACTCAGAGTATGGTGCGGCTGTCTTGATGTTACTGATGTGCATCTTTGCACTCATTGCTCACTGGCTGGCTTGCATTTGGTATGCCATCGGGAATGTTGAAAGGCATTACTTGTCTCGCAAAATTGGCTGGTTGGACTCCCTGGGACAGCAGCTGGGAAAACATTACAATCGGAGCGATGGCAGCTCAGGACCATCCATCAAAGATAAATATGTCACTGCACTTTATTTTACCTTCAGCAGCCTGACCAGTGTAGGATTTGGAAATGTGTCTCCAAATACCAACTCAGAGAAAATCTTTTCTATTTGCGTCATGCTGATTGGCTGTAAGTAAGGAGCTTTTTTTTTTTTTGCATTTTTTACTTCTTCCCTAATTTACTAATGAATTTCTGAACTGTGCGGCTTGTTAAATACTCAAAACCTTCAAAAGATTGAAAAAAAATGTGTTTGCAAAGTGAAGATCGGGCAATATTTCTGTAGGGCATGCATTTTTAAAATATTTTTTCACACAGAACTTTTGCCAGTGTTCATTTCGAACTTCACCTTCCAAAATTCTCTAGTTCCGGAAAACATCTCAACATCCAAAATTCGGGATGTTTTTTGTTCTCAGGTTTCACAGAAATTAGAATTTTTAGGGGAATTTACTTCTGCTCCTGTCAGTAGCCTATTCTTTTTTATACAAAATTTTATGAATTTAAGATAAGGTAAGATAATCTTTATTGTCATTTTTATACTGTGGGCACAATGGCACACATCCAAAATGAAATTTAGTTGCCCGCTCTCAAAATGAAACATATACATGACACATACTAGTTATTTATGCACTCTGTGGACTAATGACCTTGAAGATCCAGGGTAGGGTTGGTTTACAACACAGATGTCAAACTCGATCGCATCACGTGACATATCATGTCATATCACGATGTTTTTTCCCCTTTGTGAAGCTGGGGTGGGCCTGGCCCGCGAGCCACCAGTTTGACACCCCTGATTTACAACATATGAAAATGGAAGGTTTCCATTACAACATACGAAATTAGTTTACTATTGCTTTAAAAAAGATTACTGCTTAAAGAATATTTCATAAGAATTGATTGCAATCACTTTGCTACTAGAGATGCAACTCTGGAATGTTAATTCATATAGTTTAGACTTATCCTTTTATTGACTCATGTTCTCTAAATTGATCATTGTATATTAAAGAAGGATTGTTCTTCTTGGCTGTATCCCTTGGATTTGTAATCTACTGACATGAAGGGTTTTGGATTTTTTCAGAGGGAAAAAATAATATAAGATGCATTTGCCTAATTACAAATAATCACAAACTTACATATCTTAAACCAAGAATCAGCACCTCCAGCACAATTTGTATTCCAGATAAAATTCAGTAGCACATTTCCTTTTAAAAACTGTCTACAGGTTATTTATAGTACCTCTTAAGGAATTCTTCACACTTAGAATCCTTTTAAAGGTCAACTTGCAATCTTGTAGCACAATGTGAAATGTATAGACCCTATTGATCTTTGTATTGCTCAGTTTAATTTAGTAGATATTTGGTTGGCTTTATTATTATTAGTGAGAGAGCCAATTTGGTGTAGAGGTGAAGGCATCAGGCTAGAAAGCAGGAGGCTGTGAATTCTAGTCCCACACTGAGCACAAAGCCAGTTGGATAATCTTGGGCCAGTCACTCTCTCCAAGCCCTAGGAAGGAAGCAATGGCAAACAACTTCTAAAAACCCTTGCCAAGAAAACTGTAAGGACTTGTGTAAACAGCCTCTGAGAATTAGACACAACTGAACAGAAGAAAATAAGTTAGTAGTAGCATTATCATCATCAACAACTATACAAAAGGATCTCAAAGTGATGTACAGAAACACAATTAAAATACATATAAATATTTGTACAATAAAAAGGAGGCAAAGGAAGAAAACAAAACCTAAAGTTATTGTACATTTATTGATGGAAAACCTGTGTAATAAGATAGACTTGAACAAGCAGGCTAAACATATAATAGAAGGTGCTTCACAGGGAATGGGCATTGCACAGGGCAGATAGTGCTACGAAAAATAACACACTGATGACCACAAGCCCCATTCTTGCCACACACTGCAGAACCTTCTATTACTCCAGATGTGTAAGTTGTGAGTTGGTAACAAAACAGTTGTACTAGTATGATATAGACATGCATTGCACCTGATAACCTGTTTAACTTAATCCTTGGGTCCTTAGTTTAAACATTCATTGATTATTAAATGTGTAAACAACTTTCTCTTGGAATAGCCCACCTTTGGTAATTAACAAAAGCTTGGAAGAGTTCTTGAGGCAATTTGATTGAGAACTTGGTCACAATCTGGAGCGGGCATATGATGAGGACCTTAGCTTATTGTTCCTAGGTGGCTGTTCCTTGTGTGTTGATCTTGAGATCCTCACTGGATTTCTGATGCACTTCAGGAGATGATAGGCTAGAAGAGTGCCATCGAAAGAAGTAAATCTAACCAAAAAATAGTAAAAGCCCCTATTAGGGATTACAAAGTGGCAATAACAGCAGTAAAAGATTTTTCTACTCTTATCACATCCACAAATAGCTATTCAGCAGCACTTTTTTTAAAGTGGCTTATTCCTTGCTAGGAAGAGAAATGCCACAGAGTCATTTGTTTATTTACTGCAAGGAATATTCCAGGCATCTGGTGCCTAAAATAACTCGAATCCACTCCACCTGGAAATTGGACTCCACCTGGAAAATCTGTTGAGATAATTAAAACAAGATGCTTGTGTGCTTACTGGGGTGAGTTTGAACCTATAACTCAAGAGGAAATGGACAAGGTCCTTGGGACTGCTGACCTTTCCCCTAATTACATGTCAGTCCTGGCTGATGAAGGATGTCCAGAAGTTTATGTGTGGTTAGGTCCATGCCATATTATCTGCTTGAGGGATGGATGGTCTCACCTGCTTTGAAAAGGCATTTGTATGCCTCCTCAAGAAGCTATCATTGGATCCAAACATTCTTCCTAGACAATTTTCCCACAATCTCCCCTTTGGGGAAAAGTTGTTGAGAAGATAGTCAGGCTACGACTTCAGAGGGCCCTGGAGAAAACAGATTATCTAAACCCTTTCCAGTCAAGTTTCAGACTGAAACTTAGCACTGAATCAGCATTAGCTGTGCTTGTTGGTGATCTCTGGTGGAACTGCAATAATGATAGTGCATCCATTTTGATTCTCTTTGATCTCTCAATACCATCAAACATGGCATCCTTCAGGACCACCAAGAGAGTTTAGGAGTAGGAGTAGGGGACACAGTATTGTGATGGTTCACATATTATTAATGTTGTTGTTGTTAATTGCGAAGTCGTGTCCGACCCATCGCGACCCCATGGACAACGTTCCTCCAGGTCTTCCTGTCCTCTACCATCTTCTGGAGTCCATTTAAGTTCACACCTACTGCTTCAGTGACTCCATCCAGCCATCTCATTCTCTGTCGTCCCCTTCTTCTATTGCCCTCAATCTTTCCCAGCATTAGGCTCTTCTCCAGTGAATCCTTCCTTCTCATTAGGTGGCCAAAGTACTTGAGTTTCAACTTCAGGATCTGGCCTTCTAAAGAGCAGTCGGGGTTGATCTCTTCTAGGACTGACCGGTTTGAACGCCTTGCAGTCCAAGGGACTCGCAGGAGTCTTCTCCAGCACCAATATTATTAATAATAATATATAAATGCGATGACTTCCGGTGGATCTGACGTGCGATGGCGGCTACTTTGTAGCCGTCCTCCTGGGTAAGTGTTTGAATCGCTATGAACAGCAGCCATCAGCTGTTCAGCGGTTCAAAATCCCCCTCCCGGGCAAAGGGGGGGAGAAGAGGGTTGTCTGAATAGTGGTAGAGCCACTCTCATGCACCCCCAAGGCTTTTTTGGGGGGGTGAGAGGAGTGCTCCCACGGAGTTCAGACTGTCTCCGCTTCCCAGCTGCTTTTGTCCCTAGGGACAAAACAAGCCGCTGCAACCACCTCTGCGATTAAAGTGATCTGGTGAGGTTTTTTTAGAGGCGGACAGAGCTGAGTAGAGGATTTAGCTTTTGCTTTTTTTGATTTTATTTGGATTTTAAGTTTAAAGATTTACTTTTACTTTTATATTCCTTCTTTTTATTTTTTTTCCTTTTGTTGAAAGGGAAAGTAAAATGGCGATCAGCAAGCCTTTCGGGTTTTTTTGGGGGGGGAAGGTAGAATGGCGATCGGCAGGCTTTTGGGTGTTTTTTTTATCCTTTTCCTTTTTTTTTAATGATTGGAACAGAATGTGGATTTGATTTTGATGTTGGGTTTGGATTTTAGAAGCATTATTATTTTTGTTTAACTTCTTTGTTTTGCTTTTTGTACTTTTAAAAAAATGGAATGGATTTTTTCTATTTAATTATTTTTTTCTTCTTCCCTTTTCTTTTTTTAACTCCTTTCTTTTTATTATAATGATCTCCTTTTGAAGGATTTTTTGATTTTTTGGAGTTAATCTCTCTTTTTCTTTTGTTTAATTTTTGTAACTTTTAAGAAGGAGTAAAGATTTTTCTAAGATGGCTCCAAAGCGTTCAGTATTTTTTTGTTATAATGATCTCCTTTTGAAGGATTTTTTGAATTTTTTTGGACTTAATCTCTCTTTTTCTTTTGCTTAATTTTTGTAATTTTTAAGAAGGAGTAAAGATTTTTTTTAAGATGGCTCCAAAGCGTCCAGTAATTCCTACAGCTCCTAAGGTGGTTTCTTCTTCGGTGTTATCATCAGTGCAACAACCTAAATCAATAGCTTCACCCTCTTCCTTGGTACAGCCAATAATTGTGAAGGATTTGCAAGATATGATGGGAAATGTTATATCTCAAATTAGGGCAGAAATGAAAGAGATTTTAGAGGAAAATAATAAGATTTTGAGGCAAGAACTTTTTGGATGGCATGCCTATCTAATTTTTAATAAAAAAGTGGATCGGGTTTTTAAATCTCATATTATAAGGATCTCTTTACTTCGGGTTTGGAGGAAATATTATAAAAGTGAGTTTAAAATACCATTATGGGCTATACCTTGGCATGCAATAGAGGGGATAAGAAGAGGAGTTAAGATGGATAGTGTTTCTTATGCGCAATTACTCAGGTGGGATGGTAAAAATTGGCAGTTAAAATCTTTGGAAGATTTAGCACATGAAAATATTATATATTCATGGTTTCAGTATAGACAAATAGCTGATAGATGGAAGATAGATCGTAATGTGGGTCTACTCAGAGAAGATGAAAATCTCTTTAAACAAGTAAAAGATCAAAGGCGAACTCACATTAAGAGAATTTATGGGGTGCTAGTAGAACTGGAC